GGCGGGGAGACTCTGCCCGCGACCCCTTCAAACCCTGGCAGCAGAGCCCGGGCCAGGACTCGGGGCTGCGGGAGGCTTTCCAGGTAGAGCTGTGCCCACCTGCCTGGGGACGGGGACAGGGACCTCCCCAGCCTGGCCCCGGTGCGTGAAACAGGGTGCTGTGCTTGGTTGCAGATGGTGCTGGTGATCACCTACTATGAGCCCCAAAACCCCGAGTACCAGCGCTTCCAAACCCAGCTCATCCTGCGAGCCAAGCAGAAATTTGGGGTGCAGCTCAACTACTCCCTGGTGAGCGAGTCACCCTGCGTGATGGGGTGGTGGGGACCTTCCCCATGGGGCTGTGGCACCTCACCAGGGTGCAGAGGGTGGGACACGGCCATGGGCAGTGCCAGAGGGGCCATCCCTGGTGCCAACGACCGCGGGCAGTGCCATCCCCGCAGGATGGGTGCGTGGCCCCAGTGTGGGGTTATGCGGCTGTGGGTGCAAGTGTGGTCCCAACACGGGGCTACGGGGCCGTGGGTGGGTGCGTGGCCCTGGTGTGGAGGTCTTGTGGCCGGAGTACCCCCGTGTGGGTGGCCGCAGGTGTGCTGAGGATCCCCCCCCCCCGCCTGCAGCCCCCCTCTCCATGCTGGCCATCGTGGCTTTGGGCACCGGCCTCACCTTTGTCATGTTTGGCGTCACCAGCTTCCTCATCTTCAGGTCAGTCAGGGCTGGGTGAGCCTCTGCCTGGGCACCGGGCCCCGGGCCCCCCTCAGCCTGGCAGGGGGGCGGGCAGGGCGGGGAGGTAGGGGCGCCTGACCCCCGTGTGCCCCCCAGGAAGCTGATGCTGGAGAGGGAGCTTGCCAGCATGCTCTGGAGGATCCGCTGGGATGAGCTGCAATTCGGGAGCCCCGAGCGATACCACAAGGCAGCGGGCAGCCGGCTCACGCTGTCACTGGTGAGAGCTGCCGGTCCCGGGGCACCACCATCCCCCTGCCCCTGCCCTGCCCTCCTTCCCTGCATGACGCTCCTTCCTCCGTGATGCCCTGCATGGCCCTCTGTCCCCTACAGAGCCACCGCCCCATTGCATCCATCCACTACAGAGCCCACCGCCCCATTGCATCTGTCCCCAGCGGAGCCACAGCCCTCCATCCCTACGTAGCTCTCCACCACCTATCAAGCCACACTTCGTCCATCCATTGCATGACTCTCCATCCCCTGCAGTCCCTCTTGATCCACCCCTGTATCCCCTACAGAGCACCATATCTCATCAGACCCTCACGTGGCCCTCCATCCCCTGCACAGCCACATGTCCTCCATCCCCTACATCCCCTGCAGCGTGCCATACCTCACCCTACAGGCTTCACCCTCCCTGCAGAGCATGCAGAGCTTGTCCTGACCCTTCAGAGCTCATTCTGCACCATCCCCTGCGCAAACACTGGGTATCCCTGCCTGTCAGCCCCTGCCCTGGGGTCCCCATCCCTAACCCCCTCCTTCCCTGCAGCGCGGCTCCAGCTATGGCTCCCTGATGACCACCCACGGCAAGTACCAGATCTTCGCCAAC